TATTACATGTCCTGAATCGTATGTTCTCTAGTAACATGCCCATTTTAATAAAAGGATAAAAAGCCTTTCTTTGTGCTTGGTGTATATATTGTTTTGATGCGAGATACATTTTTAGTCAACTGTTTTAAAGTGATTTATCATTGCATGGATCACTGATTGTGAAAGACTTAAGAAGAGACATTGACAGAATTGAAATAACTCCTCCATGGGTCACAGGCAACAAAGATTAGAGTTTCAGAAGCAGGCAGACACACACTTGTATTACAAACAAAATCCATTTCTCAAGAGTTATTTTAATTAAAATTGGCTATGAAAGACTGGACTAGATAAATTCTTACACAATATTTAAAGAAACATCTGCTTTTAGTCATAGAAATTTCGAGTTGTTGATATAGTCTTATTATTGTTAGTGAATATCATCACTTATTAGATGTAGTTTTTCTAATAAATAGGTATCAATGTGTAGAAGAATTTGGTTCTCTGGTCAGTTTTCACCAGTATAATGTTCACAGAGTCCCTGTGCTTACTGACAGCTAATAAGACTATGTTTCCTCATAGAATGAGTGTTAGGGAGGGTCCGTAGACCAAAGATTCCTGATACTCCCCTGCTTGTACCCCTTTTGTAGCTTTATATAATTCTGCCTCAGCTGCATGTGGTCTTCTTGGGAAGTGCTAGAGTTGAAGGTGGTATACACCTTTTTTGACACAACATTGTTTTCTACAAAGTTCATTCTTGAGAACTACACCATCTAATTATGTACAAAATTAAAAAAAATTAATGTTTTAAGCAAGCTTGCGGTTTTGTGTTGAGCGCCACTCATTGGAATCCAGGTGTTGCTTGTTAGTTGGACATGAATGTTAGAGGACATGAGGGTAGTGTGGATGGTCAATTGTAGGGAGGTCTCTGTCCATGCAGCTTCCTGGTGGTCATTCCAGTGAGTCAGCTAGAATGAATTGGAATGACTTTTCTAGTTTGTTGTTGGCTGTTCCTGTCTCCCTAGTAGAAGGCAAGAAACAGGCACTGGAGCTAGAGTGGGTGCGAGAGCAGCCCCCACCGCTGCCGCTGCCACCTCCCCTCTGACCAGGTTGTTCGCTGCTGAGCTGGGAGAGCCAGGCGGGGCCTCTGGGGCAGTCATGGAACCCGACTCGGTAATTGAGGACAAGACCATCGAGCTCGTGGATGAAAATTTATACTGTTTAATTCTCGGAATGCTGGGTGTGTTTGCTTGAGAATTGAGCCCAGGACCTATGCCTGTCAGAGCACTTCAGTTACGAAAGATCAAAATGAAGATGTATCCCCAAAGAAAGGTGATCTTTGGCAGATAAGTAACTGAACATCATCTGTGATTGTCTCCAGAAAGAAGCCATCAGAGGGGAACTACCAGAAAGAAAAAGGACTTGTGCATTAAGAACTTTGACCAGTGGTCTGAATCAGATCAGGTGGAATTTGTGGAGCACCTTACTTATCTCACGAATGTGTCGTTATCAGCATGGACACATTATCTCTTACCTTAAGCCCATGTTACAGCGGGACTTTACCGCTTCCTTACCAGAACAAGGTTTAGATCACATAGCAGAAAACATCCTTTCCTATCTGGATGCCAGGTCTCTGTGTGCAGCAGAGCTGGTGTGTAAAGAATGGCAGCAATGATCTCAGAAGGGATGCTGTGGAAGAAGCTGATTGAGAGGATGGTGCCCTTTCTGGAAGGGCCTCCCAGAGAGAAGAGAGTGACATCAGTACTTGTTTAAAAACAGACCCACAGATGGTCCTCCCAATTCATTTTATGGATCGTTATACTCAAAAATTATCCCGGACATAGAGACCAAAGAATCGAATTGGCTGTGTGGTCAACATAACTTGCAGAGGATCCAGTGCCGCTCTGAAAATAGTAAAGATGTTTACTGTTGGCAGTATGATGATGACAAAATTATCCGTGGCTTCCGAGACAACTTTTTCAAGATCCGGGATAAAACCAGCTTGGGATGATTGAAAGTGCTAACAGGACACATGGGCTCTGTCCTCTGCCTCCAGCGCTGTTTTCAGATGGAACTTAAGAAGTTTAACATGGTGATGTGGTACTTTGTACAAATATTTCTAAGGAGGTGGAGGAAGAAAACTGACTGTTTAAAACTTCTCCTAAGTTCACACTCAGTAGGCAAGGAAATGTTTATTTTGTAAACTATTTCTGAAGAATTGGTACTGAGTGATAAACTTTTAGATTTGTATGTTATTAGTTAAATATGCATGTGTACTCACTAGTTGATTGCTAGAGTAGTTTTGGTTAATGGCACCTCTCTCTGTCTCTGTCTCTCAGTCTTTGGAGATACAATAGGCCACTTCAAATATGGTACCAAATTGCAAGATAGGCAGGTTTGCACGAGTAAATGTACTGCATAGTATCTCAAAGCATGATTCACTCTATTGAATATGTAATATTTTATTGATATCATAGATAATCAGAGTTAAGTTTGGGGAGAATTATTTATACTGGGTCTTTCAGAGTACAAGAATGTTGGTGGCAATTACATCATCTTCAGCCTAGGATTTTAAAGGGTTTCATGGAAAATCATCAGAAGAACACCAGGCAGGGAAAGACCATGGAAGGGCTTATAGGGTTATAGCTCCTACAAGTGAAGCATTTTTTTTTTTTCATTCCCCTGGCTATTTTGGCACATAGCCACATGCTACTGCAAGAACATCTAGAAGCATTATTTTGTTGTGTGTCCAGAAAGAAGGAAATTGGCTTTCTTCTGACAACTTGGTTTCATATTATTATTATCTTTGACCAACATTTCCCTCACTTTAAGAATTTACTGAGGTCTTTGATGTTTTTCAAAATTACTGTATGGTGGAAAAGGTCAAAGAAAAACACTCTGATCTGACTTAATCCCAGGACCAGGGCTTGAAATTGCACCAATTCTTGAGCTTGCTCCAGAATCAGATTGCAAATTCCACCAGTCCTTGAGCACAGAATCCTACCAATTCCTGAGCTTGAAATGCCACCACTCCTGAGCATGAAATCCCACTAATCCTTGTGCTTTTCCCAGAATCGGACCACAAAAATCCACCAATCCCAAGCCTCCCTGAAAAGAACTCCCACCAGAAACTCTATATAAACTTTGTGCCCTGTTCAGTTTGCTGCTGTTTCTCAACCCAGACAGCCACCCCTCCTGGAATCTCCTAATCAATTTCTTGAGAGGTTTTTTTGGGTGGTGTGACATTTTGGTAGAACAGAGTCTAACTGTAACAACTTTCATTTTATCAGAGTAATGGAATTAGAACCGTATCATTTTCACTGGGGAAACTTTTCCCTAGAGGAGCAGAGCTGTTACAATCCAGGGGACCTGAGAAGAGATGAACACTTCTCCACAGAAGAGTTGAACAGAGCTGTAACAAGTTCTTGGGAAACCCTGCCCCACCAAGGCAAAGTTGTTACATTTGCACTGGAGAGACCTTTCTCTGGAGCAGGGCTGTAAACTGCTACTCTTATGGTGACTTATGGTATTCTGTGGCTCCGAACTGCAAAATACCTTCCCATCCGAGGGGCAATGGTTAAAATTACTATTTTTAGATATTTATTTCTATAATCATTTCTTTGATATATATTTCCAAAGCATTTTCTGGACAGTTGAAGATTCCATAGGCACTCTATCAAACTGAAGTTGTGATCATTGTGCACATGATAGACACTTGGTTTGGTGTTAATCCATCTGTACCTGGTGATGATGGCTGACATCAAAGTAGATACAGCCTCATCATGCTGCCATTGTGAAGTGAGAATTACAAAGCAGCACTGAAAATCATCAAAGTAGGAATGACCAACAGGAATGTCAATAGGTCGGTCTTCATCTTTGAACAGACTCAGCAAAGTCCTATCACTTTGCTCACTAAGTGCCTGTTGACATGGTTGCTTAAGAAAACCTGCCTCAATGTGATGCACTAGAGTTCATTGACTCCCATGGGAAGCCTTAGCCTCTTTGAGGAGTCGATGAGGGTGGGCTGGGGGAAAGGTGGGAAAACATGTGGATGGGAGAGAGTGGGAACTGGGATTGGTATGTAAAAGTAAGAAAATATTCTTTTAAAATAAAAAAAGAAAAAAATTGAAAAACAAACAAAAAATGAAAACATTTTCAGAGTAAATCTAGATTCTCATTTTCATATTCCAGATTTAACAGACCATCTAATCATTTTTGATTTTTTTGGGGGGGGGGTGGGAGTGAGAGGCTATGTCCTTGACCTAACCACTTTTCCCTGTGCCTATTGATGTTATCCTGGCCTAAGCAACTATTTCTCACCAAGACTTTTGGTAGAGTTTCCACTTTTCCTTTGTGAGACAGGGTCTTCCTGTTTTTTTTTTTTCCTAGTCTCAAACTTGTGATCTTTCTGTCTTATTCTCCCCAAAGCATGTGTGATAAGCATGTGGATGCCTGCCTACTCTCCATGCTTGTGCTCCTCATACTTAATGCTAAAAAATCAAATCCCTTATATATCCTTCACCCCTGTACCAATGTCAGCATTTTAAGATTCTTCTAGAATATATATTTTCTGAATGTTTTTCGTGCAAGGTTGGTTGAATCCCTGGATGCAGAATCTACCTAGGGTCAAATATAATGATGATATAGTACCCATGAATTTTCAGGAACATGCTGTGTAGAGGAATAGTTTCAATATATACTAACATGTTCTGTGAATTGTAATTATTTGACAATGACAATAAAGACTTATCTATTCATCTATCTTCACAATTCTATGCTATATGTTCAGGCATTATATTCCCCCAATGACCACTTTGCCCCATGGTATAAAATTAGGTTTCTGGAAGGATTACTTTTATTCAAGTGACACAGTAGATGGTATGGGAATCATTCTGATGACAACAATAGACACTTTGTAATGCTGCTCAGCTCTTTATTTTCATTTGTATAATGCTTGGGAATGGGTTAATTCTTAAGCCTTTAACAATTATTTATTCCAAAATTTCACAGTGCTTTGGAGCAGGTCACCCTAACCGCCAAAGGGTAATTAATTCTTGCCACCATCTAAAAAAATCACCAGTGGAATTTGAGGCAGCAGTAGTAGTTAGGGGGGTATTGGCACTAGGTGTTGTATTTGCTTGTGTTGTGGGAGGAGGTGGAGGAGGAGTGGCAGGAGGATTGGTTGGAGGTCTGGGTTGTGGAGGTCTTGGTATGAAAGGTGGATATGGACCAAAGGGTGGAGGAGGTAGTGGTCCAACAAATCCAGGAACAAAGAAAGGAGGATGTGGTCTAGGAAATCCTGGACCAAAGGGACCAGGAGGAGGAGGAGGAGGCGGAGGTGGTCTTCTAGGATCATATCGTCCTCTGGGGCCTCTATGACACTCACCAGACTGTGGGAGTAAGGAAGTAAACAATTATAAACTAGATATTTCAGACAGTTATCAGTGCATACACTTTTTGGGGTGGGTTAAAGTTTAAGATGGTCCCTAATAGGCCCAGTCTCCAAAGACATTCGGTGGCTTGATTTTATCACTTATGTTCTTCTTTAGTTCTATAGTGCTGGAGGCAGAAGAGACTAGAGATTTCATATTATACCAAATGGTCTATTAACTTTTAATAAAGGTTCTCTGTATTGGAGAGAAACATATGACAATAAGGCCATATAGTCTTATGGCCAGCAAGAAAGCAGAGAATCATCTCATGGCCATTTTTTAGTGTCCTGTTTGGTATCCATTATAAACCATGGTTTCAGTACACATATTTAAGATTTAGAGATTAGGCTCTAAGGGAGAATAAATCGTGTTGTTTTACTGAGCATGGGTTAGTGTATTTTTGAAAATTTCTAGTTCCATTTATTTTTCTGAAATTTTCATACTTTATTTTCTTTTAAAGTTGGAAAATAAGCTTTAAGGAAGAATGTTGGGAGCATAATAGATCAAAAAATAAGGAAAAATACGAGTACAAAAGGGTCCAAAGAGGAAAAGTAGCAATAGGAACCAGGGTAAGGGGAAAATGCACCCAAATAGAATATGAAAATCACACATAGAAAAGTATTTACTTTATGGTTAATTAAAATATTAATAAACAAATTTGAGGCCATTCAATGCTGCAATAATGGGATGGAATCTGAACTGTGGAAAGGATGACCTTGAGATGGAGAATGGAGCAAACCTTCAGGGTTCCTCTTCTGCCTTGTGAGGCACTTGAGAAGAGAACACAGCTAAGCCAAGTGTAGACTATGCCATGATGAGCAGATTTTTTTTTTTTTGGTTTTTCCAGACAGGGTTTCTCTGTGTAGCTTTGGAGCCTATCCTGGTACTCACTCTGTAGACTAGACTGGCCTCGAACTCACAGAGATCCGTCTGCCTCTGCCTCCTGAGTGCTGGGATTAAAGGCATGTACCACTGACACCCGGCTTGATGAACAAATTTTTTTAAAGTCATAATTTGTGGTTATTTATTATGAATCAACAGAGAACTGTTACACCTTTCCAAGTCAAAAATCCTGAAAGTCAATAAAAAATGTTTTTCCTCTCTGTTCTTGATGAAAATTAGATGGTATTGAAGAGAAAGAAAATGTCATGAACAAAAATCTTAAGTTTGGGTGTTAGTAGACCTGGTCAGTGACATCAATCCCAAATGGAAGTAGTTGACCTAAAGGATTAGGGAATATCTATCTCATTCAAGAGCTTAGGGTTGTTCTAGGTTTTAATTCCAATAAATTGTGAAACATGCCATAGAGTTTATACTTTTCTACATATGCTAGCATAGCAGTGGTGAGAGGTACAGATATGTTTAATGTGACTCTATAGAATGGGAAGCTACAATACAAGGTAGCCAAAATAGGCCAAAGTGAAGAAGACTAGTAGCCTCTGTAGTGTAAATGTTGTAGTTGGAGTCTTGCCTCTGTCGTATGACTCTATATCATGTTTGAAGCAACTCTGTTTCCACTTTTGGAAATTGACATTCATATGTGTTTTCACATCATGGAGTCTGTCAAATGAGTTGTGGGATATTGTTAGTCATGCCTAAAGACCTTTTCATAAAGTCATTTGCTGTAAGCAATTTTATTTAGCAATTAAATATCAAGGCAGTCCTTTCCTTGGTACAGTACTTGTTGAATACTAGGTACTATCATTAACTATGCTAACATCCAGTTTAATGATTTTTTTTTCATAATGTGTAACATTAAAGAAAAAAGAGATGAAAGTCATTGCAGGAGAGAATGCATTAGGAAGTTGCTTAGTTTTAGATAGATAATAGGTTAAGAATTGTTTCACTGACAAGGCAGGATTTGAAATGAACTTGGGAGACTATAAAACAGGAGGAGAAGAGGGGAGAGGAGGAAATGGAGGAGCAGAAATGCTGAGTTGGGGGAAGAATAGAGGAGAACAGGATGAGAGATACCATATTAGAGGGAGCCATTATAGGTCCGAGAAGAGATCTGGCACTAGGGAGATTTCCAGAGATCTACAAGGATGACACGAACTGACAATCCAGGCAATGGCAGAGAGGATAGCCTAAATGCCCTTCCCCTACGATAAGACTTATGAGTACTTTTTATACCGTCCTAGAGCCCTCATCCAGTGGCTGATGGAAGCAGAGGCAGACACCCACAGATATACACTGAACTGAACTCTGGAACCCAGTTGCAGAGAGGGAGGAATGAAGATCAAAAGGGTCAGGACCAGGCTGGTGAAACCCACAGAAACAGCTGGCCTGAACAAGGGGGAGCACATGGACCCCAGGCTGCTGTCTGGGAGGCCAGCACAGGACTGATCCAGACCCCTGAACATGGATGTCAATGAGGAGGCCTCTGCACTCTAGGGGAACTCTGGTATTTTTCTCTGGTATAAGAAGGGACTTTGAGACCCCATCCCACGTCTCGGCCTGGACACATGGGGGAGGGCCTAGGCTGGCCAGGACGATGTGGTGGACTTTTGGGGAGCCCTTGTCGAGGGCCCTACCCAGCCTGGGGAGTGGAGGGTGGATGGGGTGAGGGGCAGGTGGGAGGTTGAGGGGAAGGGTAGGGGGGAGGGGAGGGAGAGGGAGAAGGGATTGACATGTGAAGCAAGCTTGTTCCTAATTTGAACTAATAAAAAATATTACAAAAACCCCACAAAACACAAAGGGCCATGCCAACCAGAGGTTCCTTGTCCCACACTGCTGATTCTAAGTCTAGCTTGCTTGGAGCTGATGGTTTGCTAGGAGACAGATTCATTCACTTAAATGTGGAGATCTTTATTTAATTTGTTCATCTGACACAATGCCCTGACTAATTCTAAATTTTAGGTATGCCCTAAAAACCTTCTCCTCAAGTTGAATTTCATGAACAATGGTAGAAAATGCCAAAGGCAATGTAAAGAGGTTTATGGTCTTCAGTACTGCCTTGTAATCCTCAAATTTCTTTGGTCTGCCCTCTCCAGTTTTACAGAGGCTTACACTATTTCATGTCGACACCAACTTTTTTCCCACAGTTTTCTACCTCATCCCGAGGCCCCATATTTACCTGCAGATGCAGTACCTCTTCTTTCACCAAGAGATTGCATCAGGTAGAAATGAACCCCCTTCCCAGTCTATGCTATGAACCTTTGAAGTCACTAATGATTTCAGAGAACAACTTTTCTGTTGTTTCCTCGTGGACATGGTCTTTTTTCTTTTACTTACTGTAACTTTATGCCACTTCTTTTAACTAGCATGTTTCATTTAGAAAATGACCACAACCTATGTCCCTTCACCTAATACCATCTCACAGCTTTGTGTCTGTCCCCTGAATTCTATTTATCCAGTTATCAACATCTCTCATCTCTTCTGCTTCTTTATTTGTATCATTATGACTTTTTCATTTGACCTAATCATTCTATTGTTTTTTGCTTCTCCCTTAACTAAAGTGTGCAGAGGTCAAAGGCATTCCACAGAAAATAAACATTGCATTTCCCTAATGAAAATCTTGTGCTAAAGAGTCTACATGGCTGGCTTTACTGTTACCTCTTTACTTTACTGGAACTCCATACTAAAGGCAGTAAGATTTGTTAAATTCATTGTCTTTGTCCTCTCATGTTTCTGTTTGACTCCTGCCCCCAACATGCCAGAATAACTCTTTTATTGATATTACTAGTGAAATATAATATATTAAGACATGTCTATGGGATCAGTGCCCTCTCTGAGTTTTGGAGTTCATTGAATAATGGCAGATATTGGATACATGGGGTTCCATTTCACAGGCATCTGATCACCCTGGGATCAATCTCACTTGTGGATTAAATTAGTGGATTTAAAAATGATGAAAAGGTTGTCCTAGGAAGAAAAACTATCCTGTTAAGGGGTCTGTAGTTGGAGATAATCTCTTTCATTTATGGTTCAAGAACAATATAGCTAAAACACAGATCCCTTGTATATAAGCTTATAGCATATTCTGGTTAATAATAGACTCTTTGTCATATTATCTTTGAGGTTTAAATGAGATAATAAGTAGAAACAACTGAAAATTACATATAACAAATACTCAAGATGATTGACAATTTCTCTGCTCTAATGAAAAACTATACCTTTCCAATTGAAGGCCACAATTTTTAATCATATTAAGTCTCATTCAACTAACTCATCAAAAGACTTATCCAATGTATACTATTGCATTGAATTGCTTGTAGGATTAGAATGCTCACCAAATTCATTTTTATAAGGAAATGATTGTTTAGATAATTCAAACATTACCTTTTAAAATAATAGCTCATTTTCTTCTTGTATTCTGAGGACATGGATATGTTAAAGGCCAGTTTTAAGAGCAGACCAAAAATAGCTACCTGTGCAGTTGCTAGATATCGGAACACACAGTATTTGTCTGTGTAATAAATCTGTATATGTTTATAGATCTGAGCATCCAATATGTGATTACTCAACTAAAGCTGAATTTCCAAGTGTAATTTAAATGAATAGAGTGGCATCTCATCAGTAATTTTCAGCTCCCACATATTAGGGAAGGCAGATAAATAATGTTTAAATGTCTAAAGTAAAAGTTAACAAGAGAATATTAAGATTTGTGGTAGGGATTAGTGATACTTACCAGGAAACATGTGCCAAGAATCCATAGGCCCAAGACAAAATACAGGGGTTTCATCTTTTGGTAGCTCCTGAAAGTAAGCACAGTGACAGATTATCGTTCCTTTGAAAAACTAAATGGCATTATTTGTGATGTGTCTCAACACTTGGTGTATATGTAGTGCAGTGCATCTTAAGATAATTTTCCTTTATCAAGATAATTTACCATTATCTTGGACTCAGTATTAGTGGGGTAGGATGGTCAGCTCATAACATTTGCCTATATAATGATGGATCTGGTTTTCACATGTGACTTGTGAGCTGGTGCTGGAGAGAATGCCAGATATTTGTCCATGAAGACTCTGAGCAACAGAAACTTTCCAAAGGAAAGCTTTTCTCTTAGCAATCATTATCTCAAAATGGACATTTTTCAATTGTACTGTTATTTTTCTTAAAAATAGCAATTCTATATCAATACATTTTTATAAACCTCATGTTTGAGATATTACCAATTTAACTTGGTCATATTTAATATCTTATTTCACCTAGTTAATAAGGAAGATGTTTTCCTCTTAGATACAACGAACATCAAAGAATCACTTCATATACAGACTAGTTTTAACACTATGCTAAGTCATCTTAGTCCTTAATGAATGTTTTCAAATCTGCTTTCTAACATCCAACCATGCTCCATTAATAACTAGGAAAGAAGGAGACATCATTCTTTAGCTCTATTTTATTTTCAGTGTCTTAAAGGTTGCGATCAATTTCCAGAGCCAGCTTTCCTGAGTTCTCCCTTCAGATCATTGCACAGAGTGACCTCTCAGCTACCACAGTCAACTCTGGTAATAGTGTAAATATGGCAGTGGAATAACAAAAATCTTGAAAGAAACTTAGGAATAAATTTTCATTAGGTACTATGAATGTATGTGGCCTATAGATTTTTCCTACGATATAGTTCATATGAAGCTTAAAAAAACAAAATTAATTTTATGTAAATATATGTGTTAGACTAAGTCTCTTTCAGATTCCATCTGAGAGCATCCCATCATTATGAATGGTAAGGAACCATAAGGTACAAGGAGAAGAAAGGGAATTGTGGACTCTGGTGGACTCACTGTCTCAAGTGATCAACATGAATGATTTTCTGTTACTTGCAAAAATTTTTAAAACGTGATGCATTTTATGTCTTATGGTTCCTTGCAGGTATTTATTTACATAGTGATGAAAACAGAACATTCTATAAACATCCCATTAAAATGCTATGTCTGTAGCCAGGCAAAATTTAATGTCAAGTTAAAATGCTTCGTATTTCCAGGTGCCTACCTTGGAGAAGCTTCTTCTCAGCTGATTAGTCTGCTGGCCAGGAACACTCTGCTCAGTTATCCCTGAGTGGTGGAGGATGAAGCACAAAGGGCCAGAACTCTCAGTTCTTTTATATATGCTGTAGTATAAATTCATTGGCAATAAAAGAAACACAAGTAGGAAGATAAAGTAACTTCTTGGTTGGTGCTTTACAAACAGGAAGCATCCTTGCCAATTTGGCAGTGTGATTCTGCATTCTTTTCATTTACAAATCCACTCAGTTTCTCAGTGTGAGAGGCTTCATCAGGAGCTGTACAGTTAGTCAAAATGTGCTTTTGTTTCAGGACAAGTAAAGTGGGACCTGTGGTGCACACTGTCTATTTTAAGAAAAAGAAATGAATTGTTTATTCTGATTATTTTTATAGATCATCTTTTATTATGTATTTGTCTCATTGTATCCCATTTCACCTTAAAAATAAACGCTATGTGGGAGCATCAATATTTAAAAATTGAATTCTCATGTGATCTTGAGAGACTATTTAGGACAAAAAATATGAATGAGAATTAAAAATCACAATTGAATAGATGTTTCTAAATAGCACACACACATACACACAAACAGGATACCATGCTAATGACTTTCTAAAATAAATGAATTATCTCCTTAGATGATCTAGTTTTCAATTTTAAGATTTAATCTGAAGCAATGAAGCAGTACCATAATTTTTACTTGCAAATTTCTACAGATCTGGCTTCATGCATTATTTCTCACATTTAAACAACATTGACTTAGTAGAACAATTTTTTGTTAAGTGCTGAGGAATAGATCCAGAGCATTGTATTTCCCCTGGATTTGATTCTTTTCATTTGTTTGTTATTATTTATCTCTTTTTTAAATTTGGGTTAGTGTGTCATTAAGATTCTCTAGCTGACCCTCTATAGTCTAGGTGGTCCTTGAACTAACAATGCCTTCTGAGTGGCCATGATTGCAGGTTTGTTCCACCAAACAAAGCCGAGCAAATAATTTTAAAGGATTGAAACACACACACACACACACACACACACACACACACACACACACCAGAAAACAATAACAGTAACAAAACAACCAACCTATCAACCAACCAACCAACCTAACAAACAAAAAAAAAACCCAGGTACTTTATTTGGGATTTTGACTTCAGTACTGGGAATAGCAGGAAATACAATTCCACTCGTGAGAGAGGAGAATAATAGAAATCTTGTGTAGTTTCTTAAATTTCATATTTTATCTCTCTTGAATATTGTTTTTCGATATTTGCACTCCTTTTTTCTTTATTTTTCCTCCTTTCTCAATTCCCCACAGGTCCTCCTTACCTCCCTAGACCCTCAATTTCATGTTGTTTTACTTTCTCTAAGTAAAAAAACCAAACAATCAAAACAACAACAAAAATAAGACACCTCCCCCAAAACCCAAACTTTAAATGATCAAAATAAACAAGCAAAAGAAAGATCCATTAGCCAATAAATAAATAAATAAATAAAATGTTAAACAAAGGTAGATGAGACAAAAAGTCTACAAAATAACACTGTTGGTTTTGTGTTGTCAAACTATTTCTGAGAATTGGAACTGCCCTAAAGTGTAACTCATATACCCAGTGACACACCATTAGAGAAACTAATTTTTCTCTTTCCATCAGGTATTAATTGAAGATAGCTTCTTAATTAGGGTTGGGAGCTCATGTCTACTTTACTCACTCAGTGCATGGACTCTACCTGGGATGAACCTGTGAAAGCCTTGCTTGAATTCATTTGTGTGTCAGGCTTGTTGTATGCAGAAGACTGTTTTCTTGGAGTTATCAATCCCTCTGTCTCTTGCAGTCTCTTCTGTATGGATCCCTGAGCCTTGATGGGAGTGCTCTGATGAAGGCATCCCACTCAGGACTCTGAAGTCTCTCATTCTTTGCACATTTGTCCAGTTGCGGTCTCTGTTTGAGTTTAAATCTATTGCAAGCTGAAGCTTCTCTGATGAGGTCTGAGTGAGGCACTCACCTATTGGTACACCAGTATGCCTTTAGCAGTCTTTATATTGCTATGTTCCTTTATCAGAAGTAGATTTTCCCCTAGGACCATGGCCTATCTAATCTCAGGCTCTTGACCACCTTAGCAGTGTCAGATACAGGTTCAGTTTAATAGACTGGGCCTTACATCCATTCAGAAATTAGTTAGTTACTCCCTTTATATTTGTGCCACAATGGCACCAATATATCTTGCAGGCAAGTCTCTGTTATAGGTCCCAGTGTTTGTAGCTAGGAGATACTGATGGCTATTTTTCTTTCTAGCAGTACACAACTAGTCAGTGTGGGTGGAGCTTTTAGCTAGGCACCAGCTTGACTTCTCTGTTTTTGATGACATAATTAAATGTTTTCTTCATCAATAGGGCCTTATTGTCAGGTTGAGAGTCACCAGTAGCCTTGGAAATGCCCTGTGATGTTTGGGAGTCTCCATAAGGCCCCAACAAGTTGTAACCCAATACTGGCACTGGAGGTTTTACTTGATGGCACAATCTTTCCTGTTGGGCATTGTCTCTCCTATTATTTGGTGTCTCCATTTATATTGCTTTCATATATGTATGCATTTTCGGAAGCTTCTACATTTGTAGGTTTCCATATGGGTTTCAAATGCTTTCATTAGTCATTCCTTCCCACATTCCCTCCTTTCTCATTCTCTTCCATCCCATTTTCTATTTAATTAATAAATCCTGTTTCATTCTACTAGTCCAGGTTTCCTTTGACTCTCCATAACAATACATTTTACTTCCTCTTCCTTGGGAGATCCTTCCCCATCCATTGTTTAAATTCTTTAAAAAGCCCTTATATGAAAAATAGTAAAGGAAGAGTGGCAACAAGTTGTGTTTAGAAGTTTATGTGGTATTTTCCATTATTAACTTGAAGAATTTAAATGAAAATTTGATGACATGAAACTTTTTATTTTGGGGGATTTAAACACAAGTATTTTTACTTAAAAATTGAATGAGAAATACAACTTTGTAGTTTTGGTTAATTCATGTTTTATTGTCTTCTCACTTAAATGTTGGGACCCTTACATGCTCCATGTCTCCTATCAAATTGAAATAAGTGACATACATCCAGTAGCATTATACTATCATACAGAGACCAAATGAATTTACAGTCAGGAAAAATTATTTTCCTTTAAAACCTAGGGTTGATGAGTATTAGCTGGGTTGTATGAATCTTATGTAACATGTTTCTCTATCTCACTGTGCCTGAATTACTTCTTTTCAAAAAGGTGTCATTGAATTTATGTTCTCTGTGTAGTTCTAATTATCTTCTTTTATTCAGTATCTGTGGACTATATAGTTGATGTAAAATATAGAGTAGCTGCACTCATATGTGGATTTTAGTTATAGAGTAAGGGATTATCATCCTACAATCCACACTGCCAGAGAAATTAGTAAACAAGGAAGACCCTAAAAGAGACAAACTTTGTCCCCTGGAGAAGGGGAAAGGGTCACCATCCCCTGAGCAAATTGAGAACATGGGAAGAGGGGGGGGAGGAAGCTACGAGAGTGAGAAGGGAAGAAAAGTAAGGATGCAGAGTTCATGAGGAAGCAGAAATTTTGAGTCAGGTATATATTAGAAGAAAGGACATATGATAGGTAGGATTTTAGTTGGGGGAGGTGGCAGAGGAGGAAGGGAGGGAGAAGGGATCTGGGATTGTTATGTAATTCAATCTTGTTTGGAATTCAAATATATAAAAATAAAAAACTAAAAA